AGAATTAAAAGCCTCCCAGTGGCACAGTGGTATGTCTGTGGACTTACAACGCTAGAATCCGGGTTTCGATACATGTGGTGGACAAAGCGCAGATAGCCCATTGTGTAGCTTTGAGCTTAATTACAAACAAAAAACAAACAAAGCAGCTAATGCAAATGTTATAAGCGATATTTCGTTATGGTTACCTCATATCAAACCATATCATGAAATACAAGTTGAATATATTCAAAAATCTAAAGCTGACGTTGAATTCAATTTGAGAGATGTAAAAATTATTAAACGTAATGTTCAGAATGGATCAAGTAGTATATATATTGTAAACACTACAAGCGATGAAATTAGAAACATTTACCTTGTTTTACAATTTAAGATAACGAAAATAATCAAAACGAAAACACTATGACTTTCAATAATCTTGATATTTTAAGAATGTGGGTAAAAATTAATAATGTTAAATATTCCTCTGAAGATTACAATGTTTCCTTCAAAGATGGAGAATTAGATTATTCCGGGTTAAATAATATCAATAAGGAAACTCAATTTTGAGTAAGCTATAACCAATTATGGAAGATTGTATCCAATAACTTTCTTCGACGTTTCTTGTCCTATAATAATTTAATGAATTTGAAAACTAAATTCTTCTAGCAACTCATACAAACTCCAGCAAAACCATATATATTTTATTTCTTATTACATAAAAAGAGGAAAGGAATAATGAATGTTTGTAATAAAAGTTTTGAAGGTGTGAGAACTATGTTTGATAATAAATGAGGTTTGGTTTCCTTTAGTAACTATATAAAGTGTTGTAAGTCCACCTGGAATCGGTTTTAAATTAACTGATGTTGGTAGTTATGATATCGAAAACAAACAGTTATAAAATGTTAAAGATGCAACTGATAATAACGATGCTATTAATTTATCGCTAATGGAAAAATATGTTCATAATAAAACCAAAATCGATGACAAATAAAAACGGTTTATACACACCGAAAGAGTTGTTAATAGTCAATGATGATTTTGATATTGATCAGAAAAATATAAGAAGTGTAAAGGAACCGATAAAAGGAACTGTAGCGTCAACAAAAATTATGTAGAAGAAAAAAATATATAGAAAAATTAACAAAACTGAAGATTTTAATAAAAAAATCTAGTATAAGTGAGTTAGAAAGAAATTCAATTAGAAAGAAAGTCAATTAATAATATTAATTTAAATATGAGCGCATTTAATATCGAAAGTGTGAGAAAAAATATAATATTTGGAAAATAATTCCTTCATAGAAAATGTTGAAAAGAACAAAAGAATCAAAAATGTTAGTGATCATTTTGAATCCAAAATGTTAGTGATCCTTCAGAATCCAAAATGTTAGTGATTCTTCTGAATCCAAAATGTTAGTGATCCTTCTAAATCAAAAATGTTAGTGATCCTTCTAAATCAAAAATGTTAGTGATCCTTCAGAATCCAAAATGTTAGTGATCCTATTGAATCAAAAATGTTAGAGATCCTTCTGCAGAAAATGATGCTGCCACTAAATTTTATGTGGATTTTAAAACAGATAATGTAACTAGAAATTTTGCATTCTATGCTATTGGAAATTTAGATATATGATAATGCAGTAATTAAGGATATGTTTTTCCATATAAATAGTTATTGTGATTATTTTAGATGTGAATATTGTACAACTGGAACTCAAACGAAATATTATACTCAAATAAATCATGTAATTAAAATTGTTTTAGGATTCATTAATGTAAAAGGAAATTTGCTATTAAAAAATGAAAAAAAAACCAGTTAGATATTTTTGAAATGAATGAATATTATGTATCAAAACTTTTGCTTTCTAGAGCTAAAAAAAAAGATAATATAGTGTTATCTGCATTGTCTCCTGGTGATACTGACAGTGATGTATGTTCATAAGTACGAAAAATTATGGCTTTATAAAATTTAAGAATAACGAAATAAGGAAGTAGTCAAAATACATTTAGTTAATATAAATAAATAGGAAAAAATTAAAATTTTAACAGAAAGTAGGGATTGTTGAATATTGGTAGAATTGCTATAATAAGTATCCAAAACAAAATAAATGCTGCTATACAAAGTTTGGTTGGTAAATTTAGACTGCTTCATTTAGCTATAAGGATCATAATGCCAAAATAGGGATTGAAAGTCGTTTAAAATTCTATACACTTTAGCTGTTTGTGTACTTTTATTGCAGCATATATTTTATTTTTGATACTTTTTATAGTAATTCTACGAATAACCATCGATCCCTACTTTCCGTTAAAATTTGATTTTTTTTCTATTTATTTGTTCAGTTTTTGTATGTCCATGAAATGGA